CACCCCACACCAGACCACCCGTCTTCACGGCCTTAATCCACAGGTAGTAGGTAAGGAGAAGGGCGAAGATTGCGATACCCTCGTTGTCGTAGCTGCCAGCCACTGAACGGCTAATATAGCCGGGCACTGAATGAGAGCGGAGTTAGGAGAAAGCTTGACGGCTTACCTATGGCTAGGAAACAGGCGGCAAAGAGGCCAGCACGTTCATTCCAAACCTCCTTGGTGAAGAGGTAGGCCATAATAGCAGTTAAACCACTGAAGATGGGCGCGAGAAAGACACACACCTCGCGAATGTGAATCGGAATGTTGAGAAGTTGGCATACATAGTGAATAGCGCCTAAATCGAGAGGGAAAATAGAATGAGCTGTATGTCGGGAATAGAAAATCAGCGACTGACACAAGAAACTTAGCAATATAGCTTGGTATTGGGGGAGGGGGTAATCCTTGACATGTACTGCAGCAAAAATAACGGAAGATATTGAGGGTATACATGCTACAGCGGTGAAATAAGGTGGAAAGTGTAACAGCGGACTGATAGCTAAGCGTACCTACTTGCACATCGTCGGAAAACATAGAGAAATGAAAGCATGAAGCTAAGGTAATTACTAATTGAAGGAAAAAACTAAAATTACTCAACAGTAGACCAATAAGTAGACAACGAAGAATAAATAAAACTAATCGAATTGGCCTCCTGAAAGAAACAAACGTCGTGTGTGTGATTAGGTGTCTCAAGCAGGCGACCATCTGCCAGGCCGATGCCAACCAAGTCATAATAGTGGAGGGATAACAGCGTTTAGGGTAAATTGATGCAGAACTGTTTCGCGTTTATTTGCCTTCATTCAGCGAAGGATAACCCTGACTACCAGGTGGGCCGGAAACATAAACGTACGCACACCCAGATGGCACCTGAACACCAGCTGATCGGACAACACAAACAGGCGCACTTACAGACGGCGGGGATGGTCCACCACTGGGGTCTACCAGATGGGTCATAAGCACTTCATCGAACCTCAGTTCGTCAATACCTCGTCACCTGCCATCTACTGTCACTGCAAACGGAGTATATATTCAGTCAGGAATTTGCGAACACCGATCCAATTAGCTTCCCAAAGTAAACAAACTTCGCATATACATATAGGAAGCATACATACATTGATTGCAGGGTGGGACTGCGGGACATGGCAACTAAGCTTCGCCAGATACAAGTAATCATCAAGTCTGCGCTTCGGTTTAGCAAGGCCTTTCAGTTAGATACTATAAGCCGTGAATTTCAATGAGCTGGACTGTTTGTGTATGCTTTTGAGAAATTGATCCAAAAGGAGCGTAGAAACTATGTGCTTGAGAGATGCTCTAGGGCTACCAGTTACGAGCCCTAAAATATGTAAAATCTTGTACCTGGAAAGATGGCACGTGCAACGCTAATGCCTTTAAGGGTGGCAGGGCATCGATTTAATAAAGTGAGTAACTTTTCAAAATGCATAAACGAAGACAGTATTCAGATATAACAAATGTGCCTTGCAAGCCAGAAGAACTTCAGTTGTTTTCGCGCCCAATTATGATCGCTGACC